CGTATGGGCACTCGCTTGTGCCTTTTCGGGGTCGAGGCGCCGCAAGCAATAAACAACATCAAACGGTTGTCACCAGAGATGCAAAGAGCAAGCTCATTCACCGCATGGGGGGTGTTTAATTGGGGAGTGTGCGTGTGTCTTTGCCCCGATTTGCCTTAATCCCAGTAGCTAACGGTGTAGACTCATGGCACTATTTTATCAACAACCCGGGCTGGAGTACCCTGGTCATTCGCCGGTACTTCCAATTCCAGGGGATTTAAGATCGGATTCTCCTAGCCCTGGATCGAGTAGCTTGCGTGCCGATCCTTCGGAAGCACTACCTGTATACATGGGCAGCACCTTTTCTACCTTATGCCAGTTCTGGCGCATTCTTCACGGCGTCACATTATCCTACTATAAGGACAAGCCGACTTCGTTACCCGAGCACGCGTCGATCGATTTTGCGGAGTTCAAATACCGCGAGCTCCTGGCGTGGATAGAAGGACTACCATCTGACCAGGCCTTGAAAGATCATTCCCCTCACCATGTTGTTGTCTTGCAGTACGAGTCCTACTTTATTCCAAATCTTTCACGATGATATTGACGCTTGTTCACCAGCATCTGGTTCCATGCCGCCATTCTCGACCTCTTCCGACCCTTCCTACAGAGCACCGCGCGCGAACGACAGCGCCTCAAGACATTTTCTGCTCGCCGCAGCTACCCTGAAGGAGCATTCAACGCCTCTGTCAACCAGTTGAAGCAACTTGTTGTGAGGTATCGGTGCAATTACGAGTCTTCCGCCTACACAATGCTTTGGCAGACCGCCTTGATATACGTGGCAAACGCGGTCCTTCACAACACTGAGGATCCCGAATGGCGACTTTATTTTCTGGCTTGTATATATGGATACGAGGGTTTGAGAACATCATACCGGGTTGCCGAGGTCATCTCTCGAGGACTATTAACCATGTCGCTCCAAGAGGGCGACATATCTGGCAGCGAGGCACGGCATTTGCTCGAGCAAGTGACTGAACCCGAAGGCGCCGGCGGCAAGGGCGATGTGAGGGCTACTTTTATGGCAGATCTTGACTTAGCGATGACTGATCCTGAGGCGGCGAAGGTGGAGAATCTGGCCAAAAGATTCGAAGATGTGGCTTTATTTAGCGACTTCACGACCATGGACGATGAAGAGGCGCAGGGCTTCCAACGGATAGAAACACCAGATGGTGCGGAGTGAAACACGTCTGCATTAATATTATCATTTCAGCTGACTCTGGCTGACCAATTGCTTCCCTCATCCTTCGCGTATAAATATGTGCAAGAAAAACCCAAACTCTGTGGTTGTCCCAGCCAACCTTCTCAATCCTAGAACCTACAACTCTTGATTAGTCAACGCCCGGATGGGGAATACAACGTGACACTTACGAAAAGCTTTCATTATAGAACCAGACCTCTTCAGCTGCGGCCTTTCCTTGCATGATGCGTTGCTGTGCAGTTGCAGCGCATTGCCTTAAATCAAAGACCATAGAGGATGGTCCACAGACGACCATGCCCACTGTCCCTTGCTTCTCGGTTGTTGCTTGCGCAATCGATGGAATGCTCGGCCGTCCTGCCAGGGTTTGAATACTGATCGGACCCGTGGTAACACTTCCTTTCGTCGAGACGGCCGTTGAGTGATCCATGACATCCTTATCATTCGGCGTTCCGGGCTCGGACGCGGAGGGTAAAGTTTGTCTTGACGGGCTCGTCTCATGAATCTTGACAACCACACGCATCGCCATGATGTCTTCCGTCGCAGCATGCCGTTCGGCAATATCGTTCAAAGCTTGGCAGTACCACTCTCGGAAACCAGGATCTCTTGAAACCACAACCACCTCAAGTTCCGATCCGACGTCATGTCTTTCCATGAAGTGTTCAATCATTGGCAATGAGAATCCAGTACCGGCTCCACCAGCAACAACCAGTGTTCTGTCAAAGCCTTTGAACCATCTGCTGGTCACCCCTCCGTAAGGTCCGTCGAGAAGAACAGGTACTGACATGCCAGGAGATTTCTCTGCAAGCTTTGCAAATCTACCAGTTATTCCGCCTCTGGGTTGCAAGTAAAAGACCATTTGACTGCGTTTACCACGCTGAGGAACCGAAGAGATAGTAAACGGGTGCGCGGTGAGTGCATGGAGGCCGCATGTTAGGAAGCGGAGGTACACGTGTTGTCCAGGGGTCCACTTCGTATTGGTCTCAATAGTGACCATAAGAGAGTCATGTGTAGCCATGGAAAGACGTGCATGGCTGACCCCGTGTTCCATAAAGGTCTTGAACTGCGAATAGAACCAGGAGAGCGAATACAGGACGGCAGTGGCAATGAAGTAGTCCCAGGACGTAAGACGGAAGTCACAATGAATGAAGAAGAAGATGAAAAAGACCGCAGCGGCAAATAGATGTGTTGCTTTGAAAAATTCGTAATACCGGTCGCTTTGATGGTGTCCACGGGTTAGCTTCACTCCCAAAAGTGTTCAGCAACCCAGTCAACAATGACGTACCGGATCCAGCGAATGGACATAAAAGTAAGCCAGGCTTGCGCTATTAGTGCCATCACACCGGTGACCCATATTCCCCCATCATTGAATGACTTCACAATGTCTCCCTTCCAGATATGAAACACGATGAACGGGAATGTGTGAACAAGGGCGAGAGCGAACATGGCCCATGCAACCCAGTTATGCCATATATTAAGCTTCTCGTGTGATATCCCGGTAAGGGTCGAAATCGGGTTTGCTTTGGCGCCGAGAATGCTACAATTGTTAGCCTTGCTTGACCACATTTTGTACTCGAGATCACCTACAAGAGGAACGGCATACACGCCAGTGCCATGTATCCGGCTCGCGTGGCAATAGGTGGTGAGTTGCCGAAGCTGATCTGCCTAGTGTTTGGCCAATAGTAGGGCCGGGGACCAAGGGTCATGGCTAACACCCACTAAGTCAGCCAAAGAACCTCCTTCGTTCGAATTTTAAATTCAGAAGAATACCTAGGAAGAATATAGCCCCTGCGGCACCAAGGATGTAGGCTGCCAAAGACTGCGTATTCCATGACCCCATGCGCCAACTTTTGTAAGAGATGAATCGGCCAAAAGACAAGAAACGCAGCCAGGGCGAGTTGCGTCTCAACCGTTCGGGGGCGTAGGTTGATGTCAGATTACCGATAGCGACGATAAGAATGGCCGTGAGGAAGAAGGCGATTGTTGGAAGGCCATATCGATGGTCGGCTTCGTACCAGAAGACCCAGTACGAGGTTTTTAAAGCGCATTGTTCGGGCGTCAAGGAGCACATGCCAGCGTCACGGCTTGAGTGCAGCAAGACCGGCTGGTCCAGCCATGGGAGAGACATGTTGATTGTCCCCTTCGGCGATGAAAGGTTACGGGCAGATTGAAGCAGTTGTCGGATGACTGCCACCGATACCAGCGAGTTGGGATTGTTTGATGGGAAAAGTCAACCTCAAAAATGGCTGGGATAGATTTGCTGGGGCCTTTGGCTCTTCGGTGCCAATAAGGCATGGGGAATTTCTAAACAGCGAGCACGTTGTTGACGTAGCATCGAGAGGTATGAAAGAAATAACCACGCGTATTGAGAGTGTTTTTGATCCATTGTCCGGAAAATCATGTGTTACAACTATCAGGGTGTTGAGCGAGTTTGAGAGAGTTACGAAGCATCCTTCGGCACTAAAGCACCGGGTTCCTACCATTTGATACTACGTTGACTGAGAAAATGGCTTATCATTGGCCCAATCACCAAATCCAGGACATAAGCCACGTGAGAAATGGGTTCGATGTTCTCGTTTCGTTCCCTCACTCTCCCGTTTCGACCCCAGAACGGAACTTGGATGCCGTGTCATCCTATCTAGCGCAAGAAAACTTGCTCATATTGCGCACCGGCCCCATCACCCGGAAACAAGCATTGATGAGCCGCAGTTGCCATTTTCAGGATGCAATCAAACAAAAAGCTTGAGTTTCTCTTTGCGAACTGCTCCACCATCAGCATGAACTTGCTCAGCAACTTGTTAGCAAACGCTGATTAAATTGCGCAGCACTGTTACTTTTCCACATCATAAACTCGCAAGACGTCCATCGCGGACATGGTTTGCAGTCTTCACCCCATCCTCAACTTTACCGAATTGAACAAAGAACCAACGAACGACTTTCGACCCTGGTACCGAGATCCTAAACCCAATTTTCCCATCACTCCCATTGAAAGGATCACTCGAGTCAACTGCCCACGATGATGGACATGAATATGGCAACCACAACCGCCATGGCGATGGCAACTTCGACCAGCATGTCTGACAGCATGTCGATGCCTATGGAAGATATGACGATGACGTTCTTCGAATCTTTCACCAGTCCTCTGTACTCCATGTCTTGGTCGCCAACAACGAAGGGACAGTACGCCGGCACTTGTATTTTCCTCATCAGTCTCGCCTGCATCCTGCGATTGCTCTTGGCCCTCAAGCCAATTCTGGAAGAGCGGTTCTGGAGAAACTACCCTGTATACGATTCAGACAAAGCTTTAGGCCAACATGGTGAGGTCGATCCTGGAGCGGGCGTCGCTGTAGCACGGAGAGACATTTGTAGTCGGTGGAGGGGTTGGAGGGCGGGTGCTTCTGCGGCAAGAGCAACCTACGAGGTCATCATTGGCGGTGTTGGATACCTTCTGTAAGCGCTTTTTGCCTGACCGTTAACTCCGGAAATGCCTACTAACCTGTCTCCAGAATGCTTGCGATTATGACGATGAATCTTGGTTACTTTCTCTCCGTGCTTGGTGGGATCTGGCTCGGAACCTTTCTGATTGGCGGTCTCGCCAGCAGCAGTGCAACCATCCATTGCTAGAGGCACAATATTGGGGCCGACGGAGAAAGAAACGCGAAACGACAATTGGCTTGGGAAATTATTTACTCAGTATCAGTTCTTATTAAAATCAATCGCTCACGGATCTACTACAAAGATGCCAGAGTCTTAATCCATCACCTCTCTTTCAAGACGTCTCTTTGGCTTCCTCCTCGAATTGAACCAGAACTGTTCCAGCTTTGCAGATATCCTAGCTGGAGTTAGCCAATGAAATACACGTTGATGGAGAGGATAACTTACACCTTCCTTATGCGCCAACTTCTTCACCACGCCATTTTGAGGTGATCGAATGACCGTCTCCATTTTCATTGACTCAATACTGCGATATCGGGTCAGTTCTCAACGGCTCCATGGCCATACGAGCGAATTAAACTCACACTACCAATGGGGCTCCCTTGACAACCTTCTGGCCCTCCTCAACCTCGTTCTTCAGGATCTTGCAGGGCATCGGTGCTACCACAGATGCAGTAATCTCCTTGAGTCCAAGGGCCTTCTCAAACCAGGCTGGTGGCATGAGGGCGAGCTCCGTCTTCACGCCGTGTTGAAACACCACAATCTTGGTATCTTGTTCGCTTTGCGAATTCTGCACAACAGTAGACTTGACTCGCTCCGCAGGAAAATACGTCGTTAATGCGCTTGTTGTTGGTGTGTTTGAGAGGGTTTTGCTGACAAGGTTCTCAAAAACCTCTGGCGTCTCTACTCCCTTTCTTGAAACTCGCGCGGTGAATAACTGATGCGCTGTTTGTGTGATGCTTACGTCGACAATCTCCCCCTCCTGCTCGCTGTATGAATCAAGGACCTTGAAAGCAAGCTTGCGCTCTCCTAATGTGCTTGCTTCCCCGAAGCCCAGACTACCGCCGTGCGGCCCCTCGTTCACAAGCTGTGACGAGAGGGAACCTAGGGCAGCCTGAACAAATACCTCATTCTCGATCGGCCTAGGCTTGAAGAGCTCATCTTTCCACTTCTCGATAAACCCTGTCTCAACATCCCCCTCAATGAAGGCCGGCGATCTACATAGCCGCTTGAGAAACTCGATGTTTGTGCTAAGGCCAACAACCTCGTAGTCACGGAGAGCGAGCTCCATGCGGCGAATGGCGGTCTCTCTGTCCTTGCCCCGCACGATAAGTTTGGCAATCATGCCATCGTAAGCCTCCGAAACGGTGTCTCCCTGGACAAATCCAGCATCGATGCGGATGTCCTCGCTCGTCTTGGGTGTTGTGAGGTGAATCAAATTTCCAGAGTCGGGCATAAATCCTTTCTCGGGGTTCTCGGCATAGATGCGAGCCTCAATGGCGGCACCGTGTTGCTTGATATTTTCCATAATTTCTTCCTGTGTCAGGGGCAACTTCTCGCCGGCGGCGACGCGGAACTGCCACTCAACAAGATCGGTACCAGTAACCATCTCGCTAACAGGATGCTCGACCTGAAGACGTGTGTTCATCTCCATGAAATAGAATTCACCGGAGTCTCGGTCCAAAATGAACTCGACGGTGCCGGCGCCAACATAGTTGACCGCCAGGGCAGCTTTCCTTGCCTTCTCCCACAGGTCCAGGCGCGTCGCGTCATCCAGATCTGGCGCGGGAGATTCCTCGAGGATCTTCTGGTGTCGTCTCTGAACACTACAATCGCGCTCTCCCAAGGCAACACAGTTGCCCAGCTTGTCGGCAAACACCTGCACCTCGACATGGCGGGGTCGCACAATGTACTTCTCGACCAGCATGACCTCGCCGCCTTCACCGAAGGATGCCCGTGCCTCAGCTCTGGCACTGCGAAGCTGGGCAGCAAACTCGTCTTCGGTTAGGACGATGCGCATACCCTTGCCCCCACCGCCCTTGACACTCTTCAGCAGTACAGGGAACTTGATGTTCTTGGCATGCTGTAAAAGCTGATCTTCTCCCTGCTCCGAGCCATGGTATCCGGGCACGCAAGGAACACCTGCTGCTGTCATGATCTCCTTGCTCCGCGCTTTATCACCCATATCCGCCATGGCCTGGGCCGGCGGGCCAACGAAGACAATGCCCTCCTGCTCGCATCGTTCTGCAAATCTGGAGTTTTCGGACAGAAATCCGTATCCGGGATGCAAGGCCTGGATGCCGTGTTTCTTGGCCAGGGAGATGATGCGCTCGCCGTCGAGGTAGGCCCTCGGCTCACCTAGAGCAAGGGAATGCGGGGAACAGGCAGCGTGCTGGCTGGAGCTGTCGGGATCCGTGTACAAGGTCGTCGTCCGGATGCCGAGTCTGTCTGCTGTTTTGTGGATTCGCAGGGCAATCTCGCCGCGGTTGGCGATCAGGAGGGAGGTGATGGGAGTAATTTGGCTCGAGGCTGGGATCGACTGGCCGACCGCAGAGGAGAGCAGACGAGGGAGGGGTCGGACGAGCCGATGCTTCGCTTTCATCGAGCGCATGATGGGCGGCTGTTGGCTAGTTCCTGAATTCTTGAATCCGACAGTCAATTGATTATCTTGGAAAGAGAGCGTAAGGACCTGAAGACGGAGATTGAAGGAATTGCGAGGCAGCTAAACAATGGGAGTCGGCACGCACCAGACCCAAGACCAAGACCAAGACCGAGGTGTTGAAGGAGCTTCGGTTGGTAGCGCTTGTCTATGCGGTGCCGACAATAGCCGGCGGCGCTGAAAGCCGCTGAAAGGCGACCCCAGACCCCAGAAAGCCCGGACCGCAGCTGCCGGGGTCCAAGGTACACTAAAATTAGCACCTAGGTACGAAATCTTGAAGTCCTCAGCTATTCGGACATTCCCTATGATATTTTGTAGTTTATGTGAGCAAGTTATTTAGTCTTAGTTCTGGAAGAGTTGTGGAAGTTTGTGTCGCTCGTTGAATCAAGAATGATTCTAATGATTGTATGGTGTTCGCGAGCGATGGTGGCTGTTGCTCGCCGCTAATAGGGGAGGGCGCTCGCCGAGATTCTGCATCGCTGATCCTCCCCAACGTGTTCGACATCTCGTGCGTTTCCAGTGTCTCAATGGCAACCGTCAGGCGCTTCATCTGGCTGGCATTATGTTGATACACATAAGTGAAGAATGAAGCTACTCTGGCGACAGAAAGAGATGGCGGAAGCATCGACGCGCTGATAAGATAAGGGACAAATATCCTACGTCATCCCGTTTGGGACCCAATCCAGGGCCTGAGTCTGCCCCGCATTAGTCAGCGCCCGAGGGCCATTCTCTGCCCATCTTTCCAGCCCAGCCGGTCAATCTCGCAGAGCTTCACAAGGCGACAGCTCACGATAGCATCAATCACGACCAGCACCACAACGTCGACATGGAGCAACAAGTGCCCCTCAACTACGAGGCCTCGGCCGGCGACACCAACAAGCAGGTCACCGACACTCTCCCTCAGGAGGTCGTCCAATGCCTGGAGAATGCCCGATTCGTAAGCTCCGAAGCTGCCCCTCCGTTACTTCGATGAAGCTGTTCAGAGCTGCCAGTTGCGAGAACATCTGCTGATTGAGTTGTGCACACGTAGCTTCACCTCGCGACATGCACAGACAACATCCCCAACGTCTCCCTCATGAACTATACCTATCTCCCGTCGTCCACCTACTCGACCGGCCCCGTCATCGTCATGACGACGAACCCGGCTTCAAGAAAGACGCATAACCTTCTCTCGAACCCTAACGTCTCGCTGCTCGTTCACGACTGTATGGGCTTATGCCTACCACAAACCAATTTCGACGCTTGCTGACGTTACGTAGGGTCTTCTCACCGCCCCCCAACTCACGGTCGACGTCCCTCCGGCGGCAGCCCCGGTCCCGAGCACCGCTCCAGCCTTGCCTCCCTGCTTCTCAACCTCAACACCGCCGCGGTGTCTAGCATCAGCGCCACCATCAACGGTACCGCGAGACTAGTCGACAACGGATCCGACGAGGAGAAGTTCTACCGCGAGGCGCATCTCGAGAACAACACCTTCGACGAGGGCCAGACATTCAACCCCAGCGTGCAGGCTGAGGACGGCGGCAGGGGATGCTTTGTTGCGGGAGAGGAGGTGAGAGTCATTGTGGTCACCATCAAGGAGATGAGAATCAGCGACTGGAAGGGTGCTGTACGGGATTACGTCCTTACGGAGGGCGCTCCTGCCACCCAGGTCAACGGCGTAAGGTAGGATAAGCCTTGCAATGCGACGACGTTATTGATTGAATCGGGTGCCTGTGAATGTATGTGCAATATTGACTGCCCCTTGGCTTGAATGAAAAACCTTGAGTCGAGAGTTGCAATTTCAAGCAGGCAGCCTGCATCCTCAACACGGGGATCGTGCAGTAGTAGTTCCATCATAGTTGACGCGTAAGTTTACCGTAGATGACGCCGATTGGGACAAGGGCCCTCTCGCAACTCGACGACAGAAACCGGCCATGCAACGTATCATGACCGCCAATCAAGCCTACACGGTAACGAGAGGTTTCAACTCAGCACCGCCAAAACGGCGGCCGTTCAAGCGGCTCGGGATAAGCCGTCGGCGGCGCAACTCCCCCCGGCAACAAGTCCTCCACACCGCGGTAGATCTTTCGGGCGGAAAAGAGCCGGGAGCTGACACCTCTTCGTCCAATTCTCCTCCGACCCCTCCGTATCGCTGTCAGTCTCTCGGTCAAGCCCCTCCTTCCAAACATGGTAATCCCTTCCCATCCTTTCGTAATATGCATCCGAGAGCGCCTAGCGGGATCGACAAATGCCATGTGTGTTGTTCGGGGACTGTCCGACAGCAACACTGTCTCCGTCGAACCACTACGGCAAATGTGCAATGCAAGCTACGGTTCAATCACCACGCCCTCCAATGAAATGTTGCTGATGTGCTTGGGGGCGAAAACGTTTGCCATTTCAATCGTAGAGGAGGGGGCTGGAACAAGGTGTTAAGGGCATTTAACCTACCCTCCTGGACCATGCAGTAGCCGCAGGCAAGGTTGAAACATTTCAGGGATCATGGCCACTCGGGGGCTTTCTGCAACGGGTTAATATTCGGCAGATTATTGTGAGCTCTGGCTGGACACGTCTTTATGCATATCAAAAACAAGGAGATGCCGCTGTGATTCGAGCATATGGAGAATCCTAGTGCAACGTCGGCTGCCGCCGAAGAAAGCCCGAGTCTGCTCGGGTCTTCAAAGGCCGATCGAAACTATCATGTCGGCAAATGCTGATGGCGGGGGATATGGAGGCGCAGGATGCGACTCGCCGGGACCATGTAGTCCTGGCGTGAGGCAAATTACCCATTGTTGACTTGATTTTCACTTCATCTGTCGTGTATTGGCACAGGTTGGGATATCAATTATATTTTAGGTAGTATTTACGTTCCTGAACGGTTGTCCAGAACCTTTGGAAACAGAGCATCCTCCAAAAACATCATTGCATCGGCTTCCTCGCAGTGACAAAAGATCTGGAGGATGTATTAGCGAAATGGGCGCTAGGAAAGAGTTTTCGAATGCAACTTACACTTTTCCGTAAGCCTCGTTCGCCGGGTCCCGCGACTCTTTGTGGACTCTCTGCAAGAGGGCCCGGGTATCATTCTCGTCCCAACCTCCTTTCGCGAATACGGCCAACGAGTAGTTTTCCAGACCTCCTGTCCGTCAGTGACTGCGTGTGCCCTGCAAATCAGAAGGGAAACCTACCATATTCAAGCATCTGGGCAAATTGGGCCCCTTTCCTTACCATCTTCTCGTCGTGCCCAACGGCTTGTATCGGCACCAAGTCCGACCAACGGCCAACCTTTTCAAATCCCACATCCGTCAAGATGCTGGGAATCTTGGGTATCGGATCAAAATCCACGCCTGCAATCTGTGCCATTTGCGCAAACCGCAGTTCGAACTCGCGACAGCCTGCCATAGGGCCATTCTTTTCCTCCTCGTTGGTCGGTGCCGAGGGCTCGTCCGAGCTGCTGTCGATGAGATCAAAGTACCGCGGTCGCACCTCCGCAAACTCGATCATGCCGCCGGGTTTGAGATGCTCGTACGCCTGTTCGAAAAGGGGCTTCCACTCCGGGACGCCGCCACCCACAAGGTTGCGCATGTGCACGAAGTCAAGGCTGTTCTTTTCCCTATCCCATGGATCTGTCGCGTCTTCCACCTCAAAAACGACGTTCGAGGGAACGTTGGTCGGCAACAGTGCTGCTGATAAGTCGACACCCATAATCCTGGCCTGAGGGTACTGCTGCGCCATCTCAATCGCCCAATTTCCCGTCCCTGAGCCAATGTCAAGGATGTTCAGGGGCCGGTCCTTTGGAAGCTTGGTAGCCGTAAGACCGCCTTCCAAACAGAGTTTGAACAGCTGGTGCTGGATCTCCAGGCGGGCACGTTCAGATTCATCGTTGGGCATGAGAAGAACACCGGACCCGTGGTAAGTGTGGCCGTAGGAGCGGATAGGTGGGAGTTCGTCCACCGAAACGGAGCTGTAATCTGAGCCAGCGTCCGAGTCGTCGCCGTCATCATCATCATTGCCGTCGTCGCCTTCGTCACGATCTGTGGTGTGTGCCTGAGCTGCCCGGGAATGCCGCCTCCGGTTCTTGTGGTCGTCCCGGTCTCTGGTTGCGCCGGTACGGTCGGCCCTGCGTCCGGTGCTATTGCCGACGCCTGGGTCTCCGGCTACGGCGTCTACGTCTTCCCCCATGGATGCGTTGCGGCAAGCCTGTCCAGAACTTCTAGATGGTAAAGAATTCCAAGACGGCTGTTGATCAAAGTAGCAACGTTTCTTCTGCTGAGGGTATGCTCGTGACCTAAACTTGTAATTGCTGTTCCCCCTCTGGTGTATCGAAAGTTGGTGGCAGCACTAGTGGGCTTTGTACTGCCCAAAAGGTGATTGTACGTCTTTGGCGGGTGACAGCGCACGTGGAAAGGCTTCAAAATTCCCGCGAAGAGAGGTAATGAGGAAAGAAGGGGCGATGTCCTGAATGTGTCTCAGGCACAGGCAATGTTGGTCTGGCGTACGTCGAATGGGTCAAAGGGTAGCGGATGCCTTGGTTTTGTCTTCCTTGGGGTAAGGTAGGAATTGGTTGATGGTGTTGTTGGTAGTCGGGAGAAAGTGGCCGAGGTGGAGGACAAGGGAAGCCGGTTTGGTTTCAATGCTCGGCGTGCAGATAAAGGGACCGACACAAGGAAGGCAAAGAAGGCTTGGCTGAGTACGCAGGACAAGACCGGACGAGAATGGCAAGGGCTAATATCAGGAGTAAAGGGGGGGGATGGGAAGAGGGAAGAAAAAGAAGAAGGGACGGCTGGGCTCATGGAGGGAGTCAAGAGTCGGAGGAGCAGTGGCAGTGACAGTGACCGGCCGCGGAGACTCGGCCGGTCTTTTCTCGACTGGAACTGGAACTGTGAGGTACTTGGGCGTGGGATTTGCGACCTGTTGGACTGATCCTTGAAATGTATGGAATGACCTCGACGCCCTTCTTTTTCTTCTCTTGGGCTGGC